TTAAAGAATTTCTCTCAGATACATATGTACATCTTCTCTCTCATATACATACTGACATTTGGGTGACCCTCAAATAAACGGCCTAGTGAAATCAAAGCGGAGTAAAATCCACCTGCTGAGAGCCCTCATGCATGAAACTTGAGAGATTTCTTGTAGCTCTTAAATTTGAGGAACAATAAATGATCCAAAGGCATTAGAAGAAGCATCAAAATAAAAGACTAAACAAAGGGAAGAATCATTTAATGAAACAGACTATGCAGACAGAAGAAACTTTTTTACAATTTCTAGGCAGAAGTGCCAGTGGTGGTGGCTCAAACATGTGATTCCAGTGCTTTGGGAAGGAAACATGGGAGGATCCCCTGAGGCCAGGAACTCAAGAGCAGCTTGAGCAACACAGCAAGACCCTATCTCTACAAAAATTTTTTTGAAAACATTACCTGGGCAGGCCAGACACGGTGGCTCATGCCTATAATCCCAGCACTCTGGGAAGCCAAGGAGGGTGGATCACAAGGTCAAGAGACTGAGACCATCCTGGCCAACATGGTGAAATCCTGACTCTGCTAAAAATAAAAGATCACCTAGCTGTGGTGGCATATGCCTGTAGTCCCAGCTACTCAGGAGGCTGAGGCAGGAGAATCACTTGAAGCCAGGAGGCAGAGGTTGCAGCGAGCTGAGGCGACAGAGTGACACTCTGTCTGAGACCCAAAAAAAAAAAAGAAAACATTATCTGGACATAGTAGCACATGCCTGTAGTCCCACATACTTGGAAAGCTGAGGTGGCAGGATGGCTTGAGCCCAGAAATTCAAGACTGTAGTGAGCTATGATTGCACCAGTGCACTCCAATCTGGACAACACCAAGACCATGTGTCTTATTAAAAAAAAAAAAAGTTCTAGGCAGAGAGAGGAGCACACATTCAAAAGACAAAATTTTCCAAGAAATCATTCTAAAAAATTTCTATGAATTAAAAGACAGATTTTCAGACTGAGCTTTAAAAGAGTAAAACAAAAACAAAAATAAGATCCACACCAAAAAGATGGGCATGATGGCACATGCCTGTAGTCCGAGTTACTTGAGTGACTAAGGTGAAAAGGTAACTTGAAATCAGGAATTCAAATCAAGTCTATGCAACACAGCAGGGCTCTGTCTCTTTAAAAAAAAAAAAAAAAAAAAGGCTGTCCGTGGTGGTTCACGCCTGTAATCTCAGCACTTTGGGAGGCCAAGGGGGGCTGATCACCTGAGGTTGGGAGTTCGAAACCAGCATGACCAACATGGAGAAACCCATCTCTAAACTACAAAATTAGCTGGGCGTGGTGGTGCATGCCTATAATCCCAGCTACTAGTAGAAGGAGAATGGCTTGAACGGGGAAGTGGAGGCTGTGGTGAGCCAAAATGGCACCACTGCACCCCAGCCTAGGCAACAAGAGTGAAAGTCCATCTCAAAAAGAAAAAATCCATATCAAGGACACATTATTGCGTTATTACTTTAGAATATAAAAGACAAAGAAACATTAGAATTTCACATTAACGAAAGGCAGGAAATTTCCTTCAGCAGACAGGAAATCAAAGTGGCAATAGGGCCAGATCCAAGAGCTCACACCTGGAATCCCAGCTCTTTGGGAGGCTGAGGCGGGGGAATTGCTTGAGCCCAGGAGTTAAGGACCAGCCTGGGTAACATAGTGAGAACCTGTCTCTACAAAAAAATTGAAAACTTAGCAGGGCATTTGGTAGATGGCTGTAGTCCAACCTGTATTGGTGGCTGAGGCAGGAGGATCACTGGAGCCTATGAGGTCAAGGCTACAGTGAGCTATATTCATGCCAGGGTGACAGAATGAGACCCTGTCTCAAAAAAATAAAAAGTTGTCATTAATTTTCTTTCCTACAACACTGCAAGTTCTCAGACAACACAACAACTTTCAAAAATACTGAGAAAATAATTCCTAATCTAAAATCCCAAACCAAAACTATCCAACAAAATGTAGGAATACAACGAAAACACAGCCAGATATGCAAGTTCTGAAAAAATTCATTTCCCTTGAATCCTTTTCTCAGGAAAACACAGGACAACATATTCTATCAAAATGAGGGAGTAAACCAAGGAAAAATAAAAAGAGAGATCCAGCCAGGCTTGGTGGCTCATGCTTGTAATCCCAGCACTTTGGAAGGCCGGGGTGGGTGGATCACCTGAGGTCAGGAGTTTGAGACCAGCCTGGCCAACATGGTGAAACCCCATCTACTAAAAATAGAAAAATTAGCTGGGCGTGGTGGCGGGCACCTGCAATCCCAGCTTGTCAGGAGGATGAGGCAGGAGAATCGCTTGAACCCAGGAAGCAGAGGCTGCAGTGAGCCCAAATCACACCACTGCACTCCAGCCTGGGCAAGAAGAGCAAGACTCTGTCTTTTTTAAAAAAAAAAAAAAAAGAGAGAGAGAGAGAGAGAGTTCCAGTAAACAGTAGTTCCAAATCATGAAAGAGCCAATAGGAATACCCAGAAGGATGGTAAAGGAAGGTTCCAGATGGAATCAGTTCTACAGTCCAGACTAGAATAAACAATGTTCCAAGGGGTGGAGGGGATAGCATGTATTTGGAGGGGGAGATTTACTACTGAATCATGTGATCTGTTTACTTCCAGAGAGTTTAAATATAAATTATAGGTAGGTAAAAAATACAGCAAGTATTAACTTCAGGAGAAAAAAAAAAAGCTGTACAAGAATGAAAATACAATAGCATTCTTCAACTTACTGCAACCTCTGCTTTCTGGGCTCAAGCAATTCTCCCGCCTCAGCCTCCTGAGTAGCTGGGACTACAGGTGCCCACCACCACACCTGGCTAATTTTTGTATTTTTAGTAGAGATGCAGTTTTATCATGTTGGCCAGGATGGTCTTATCTCCTGATACACCCAACTCGGCCTCCCAAAGTGCTGGGATTACAGGTGTAAGCCACCTCACCCGGACAGTAATAGCATATTCTATGGCTTATCTAAAGCTTTAATATTACTTATATAGTCATGATAAAAGTAACTATTGAGCCAATCAAAAATTATTTTATAACTACACTCAAAAGATGTACGGGATCTTTATTTCATGTTTGAAGTAGTGAGAGGTGGTAGGAAAGCACACTTTTAAAGAAGGTATTTCTAAGTATTTTTAAGCATTTGCCCATAATTTGAGGAAGAGTAAATGATCCCAAGACATTTGAAGAACCATCAAAAAAAAAAAAAAAAAAAAAAAAACACTCAATTAAACTAAGGGAAGACTCAAATGACTATGGGTGGATGGCAGGGGGAGCTTTATAGACAGTAGGCTGAACTTGGTGGTTCACACCTGTAATTCCAGCACTTTCGGAGGCCGAGGTCTAAACAATTGGAAGAATAAAGTTGTCATTTATTAACTAAGGAAAATGCAAAAGAAGCAAATTTGGGTTAAACAAAAAGCACAGTGCAGATACAGAATAGTCTGAGTTATCAAGCACCTAGTAAGCAGTTGGATATGTGAATCTGGAATTCAAGAGAAAGGTTCTGGCTGAAGATATAAATCTGAGTCATCAGCATAGTTCATATTAAAGAAATGAGGTAAGACCATCAAGTGAATCACAAAATGGGCTTGGGACATTCCAATGTTTCAAGGACAGAAAAGGAAACAGCAAAGGAAACTCAGAAAGAGCCAGAGAAATATGGAGGAAAAACCAGGCAAATATGTTTGCTAGAAGCCAAACAAAGTAACTTTTATGGAGAAGAGTCAATCATATGAAATGCTGCTAATAGATCAAGTCACATGAGATCACTGCTGACACAAGAGACCTTAAAAAAAATGGCTCCAATGGAGATAAATATCTTATAGGAATGGGTTCAGGAAAAAACAGAATAAACTAAAAACAACGAATACAGACAAGCAGTTTTGCTATAAAAGAACTTTTTCAAGAAGTTTTGCTATAGAAGAAATGAGACATTTCAGTTGGCTCAAGGTAGGACAAACAATATATTCATAATATGTAAGAAAGGAAAGACAGGCATAGATGCTACGTTTACAGATCCAATGGTGACAACTTTTAAAGGTTCCTTTTTGATTGCATCTATTTTCTCATGGAAATGGGGAGCAAAATGAGAGGAAAGAGATATGAGACATGTAATGACAGAGATAAAACTATGAAATAGTCATTTAGGACAATATATGAGGAAAGATTAGATCACTAATGACAAGATCATGAATCTCAAGCAAGCCTAGGTCAGCATGCTAATGTGATGGGTAAACATTTTCACTTAAACAGATAAACCTGCTCTATAGTCTTTTATTTAACCAAATGTTCTATCCAAAGTTTTTCACCATCACCAAAGAACTTACCCATGTAACAAAAAACCAGCAGTACCCTAAAAACTATCGAAATAAAAACTTAAAAGTAGAAAGGCCTGTATAAACAGGGCACAGAAAAAAATTTTTAAAGTTTTTCTTAAGTGACAGTTCCATTTTCCTAAGTCTCAGATCATCTGGTCTGCATATGAATATATATGGCAACAACAGTAACATTTTTCCATGAAATACACGCCAGCACAGAAAAGTATGGTCCAGGGAGTACGTCCTCTCTCCAGGGTACATTCAGGATTTCTCTTCCTCATTGTCTGATATCCTTTCACACAGGGTCTAAACTGTGCCCTTTTTGGCTTTTGTGTTGTTCTATTATGGATTCTGCATTACTTACATACTCCTAAGGCCTGTTCTCTTCTATCTGGTTCTATTTAACCCACTACTATAAATTTTCAGGGTCTGCCTTGTTTCGCATTATATACTACCATTTCCAATTTCTAGTCTTTTGTCAAGACCTTACAGTTTCATTCAGAAACTTCTCTTGTGCTGACAGAATGTCCACTTGAAATCTTTATATGACACACTCCAATAGTACTAGTGAATGAAACCAAGACAACAAAATAATATCAAATCCCATCAGTAGTCAATCTTTTGCTGCTATTGTAGCTAAACTATGCCTAAAAATAATAATTTAATGAGATTATCTCATAAGGAAAATTTATTTGGTAAACTATCTCATAGAAGTAAGACTTGAAAAACAGTTTCTTAAACACACAGCATAATCCCGATCTCCCCCCATGAAAAGCCTACTTCATAACTGAAGTACCAAAACCCCATGAACTGTATTACTAAAAAAAAAAAAGACATTTACTAAACTTCCACAGGAAGACTGTATAAATCTGGAAGTGGTTAAGTACACATCAGCCTGTATCCAAGAATAATACTCAGTCTCAAAAATTAACTGAAAATCTAAACTTAATATGGATACTTCTTTGTTTGTAATAAGGCTCAGAAAATTACCATCTAATTAAGTATACATGGTACTAGTTACATGTCAACTGATATAATAAAAAAAGGTTAAGTGGACAATCTGTATTTCAAACCCAATACAGGGAAATCACTAGTTGCAAACAAGAACTTTTAAAAGCCATTCTTGGGCTCCAGTTTAAAACAAACATTCAGGACTGGAATCTTCAGAATTTTCTAGTATCTTGAATAACCCCATCTTCTCTTTAATTGGTCCTGAAGCATTCATTTGATCTAAGAGAAAAACATTAAAACGGGAACAGTTTAGAAGTATAAGAAGAAATCACAAAAGAAACATCCAATATGATGCTATGAGAAGTGAGTCCTCTGTCCAAAATTATAAAACTCACAGTAATATATATAGGGCATGCTCTTCCTTTATTACCAGGATTTAATAGCAGCAAAAGCAAAAAGGTACACTATTCTTAATACAACAACTAGAATCAGCCTCTTGGGAGCATACAATCTAAATCATGAATTTGCTAGTCAAAATCTCTTTTGCTGAATTTAAGGTAAGATAAACAAGTTGAAGAGCTATAAACAACATGAATTTGAATCATGTTCTCAGAAATGTTTTAAAAACAGGCCCAATCATGGTTAGTTTAAAAGCTGAAGAGCAAGACACCAAAAGCTTACCTTAAGAAACATTTTTAATCAATGACAACATGTAATCTCGTAAACTCTTTATTAACATGACAGCTGTGAAATGAAATTTCTACCGATTTTAATTTGTATTATTGATTTCTAATCATCCTTGTATGTTCATGAAAGATTTCTCTCTTGGTAATAGCTTGCTCTTATATTATCCATTTTTATTATCAACTTTTATTTATTTGCATATCCTAAACACTTCCTGTTATATGTTCCAAATATTCTTTGTGGTTTGTCTGTTTACGGTGTCATGTCTTACAGTAGCCTTTCCTATTAATGTAATTAAAATATACAAAAACTGTCATATAATTTGTGATTTCTGTATTAAATGGAATTCTTTCCTAATCCCAAAATCATAAATATATATTTTAAGTTAATATTTTACCTTTAATACTTAGGTTTTGAACACATGAATTGTTAATTTATCTGAAGTTTGTAAGTACAGTGTGAGGTGAGGAGAATCTAAGTTAATTTTCCCCTATTCATTACCGTTGCCCAAGATAATCTATTGACTAATAGGAATTTCCTATCTCTGGTTTGAAATGTCATTTGTCATTTACTAGCTTTTCATGAAAGTTTGGTAGTCTTTCTAGGTTCACCATATTGTATCTCTAGTTAATTTATCATACCATGTGCTAATTCTACCATCTTGATTATGACTTCTTAATTTTTAATAAGATGTTATACCTGGTATAAAATATCTTGTTCTTCAAAATTGTCTTGGATCTTGGCCTTTTACTACTCTTTCATATAAATTTTAACAACAGGCTGTTCTATAAAAAAGTCTTTTTTGTATTTTTTTTTTTTTTTTTTTTTTAAAGGGACAGAGTCTCCCTCGGTCACCCAGACTGGAATGCAGTGGTGCAATCTCGGCTCACTGTAACCTCTGCCTCTCGGGTTCTGACAATTCTGCCTCACCCTCCTGAGTAGCTAGGATTACAGGTGCCCACCACCACACCCAACTAACTTTTTGTATTTAGTACAGACAAGGTTTCACCATGTTGCCCAGGCTAGTCTTGAACTCCTGAGCTCACGCAATCCACCCGCCTCTGCCTCCCAAAGTGCCGGGATTACAGGCGTGAGCCACCACACCCAGCCATGATTCTGGGATTTTAATTAGAAGAAAAATTCAAGAATGTAAGTTAGTTTTGGGGAACACTGACTTATACTTTGTAGTAACCATTCATATCCACAAATACAGATAAACCTGTATGTTTATTTAGTCTTTCAGTTAATGTCATTCAATGTTTCATAATTCTGTCCTTATATAAATGTGTTAAAAATTATTAAACTTAACTGTAGGCATGTTACAGTTTTTTAGCTGTTGTAAAACCCTTCATTATTAAATAATTATTGCTGTTACATATATTATTAACAAGCAATCTTCTTAAATTCCATCTTAAAAGATTCTGGATTCCCTTGGACTTCCTATGAAGATAATCAAATCAGACCACCTGCAAATAAAAAGCAATTTTGATTCTTTTTTTTTTTTAATCTTACGGTATTAGTTAAGACATCTTTTCCATATTGTATAATTACAGTGAAAGAGAGGGATTTTATCCTCGTTTTAGTAGTACTTTTCTATATGAATGTTCTTTATCACCAGAAGAACTTTGTTCTCCACAGCTAGTTTTAAGCATTACGGGGTCAGGCACAGGGACTCATGCCTGTAATCCCAGCACTTTGGGAGGCTGAGGCAGGAAGATCACTCGAGCTCAGGAGTGTGAGACCAGCCTGGGCAACACGGCGAACCCATCTCTACAAAATAAACAAAACAAAATTAGCAGGGCTTAGTAGTCACACCTGTAGTCCCATCAACTCGGGAGGCTGAGGTGTGAGGACTGACTGAGCCCAGCAGGTTCAAGTTGCAGTGAGCCATGATCACACACCACTGCACTCCAGCTTCAATGACAAAACAATACCTCATCTCAAACCAAAAAAATTATGAAGATGATTATAATGTTATGTCAAGTTGGGTTTTGGTCTCTAATTAGGTGATCATCTAGTTCTCCTTTTAATTAATATGAATTATATTAATATTTTCAGATGTTAAACAGTCTTACATTATATAATATTGATTTTTAATATATTTGAGATATGACCATGCTATATTTCTCATATATCTTCCTAAACTATTTCAAAGTTAAAATTCAAATAAATATACGAATTATCCAGAATATCTAAAATGATCTTGAAAAAGAACAAAACTAGAGAAAGTATACTTCCCACAAAGCTACCTTAAGTCAGTGCAATACTGGTATAGAAATATCACAGAGATCAATGGGACAGAACTGAGAATACAGAAATAAACTCTTATATTTATGATCAAATGATTTTCATCAAGGATGACAAAGCAATCCAAAAGAAAAAATATCATCTTTTTTTAAAAATGGATATTGACATGCAAAAAGATTAAAATTCACTGAAAATAAATCACAGACCTAAATGTAAGAGCAAAAACTATAAAACTGTTAAAAAGAAAGGATCAAGACTGGCAGCATTAGGCGAAGAGTAGTTAGAGATGACACAAAAGTCATGAGTTACTGGAAAAATTTGTTAAAACTGGAATTCAACAAAATGTAAAACTTTCGCTCTTCAGAAAATACTAAATAAGAAAATGAAGAGACAGGTCACAGAGGGGAAGAAACATTTGGAAAATGTATCTGATTAAAAAAAAAACTTCTTATCACATATATTTTAATATTATTTTGATTCAATAAGACATAGAATTGAACTTTTAAACGAATAACGTATTTGAAAATACATTATCATGACACTGTACCCAGTGCCATGCAGGTACATGTTTAACAATTGGCTCTCAAAAAAAATAAAAACCCAGGAACAATGGCTCATGTCTATAATCCCAGGTTACTCCTGAGGCTGAGGCTGGAGGGTCCCAAGAGCCTAGGAGTTTCAGGCTGCAATGAGCTATAGTTGAGCTCCTGCATTCCAGCTAGGGATACAAAGCAAGACCCTTTTTTGTTAAAAACAAACACTCAGGTTTGTAGTTTTTGTCTGTATCTATAATATGAACGTTACTGCCATCACCAGTTTCAAAACATCAATGTCACAGAATACAGTTGGGAAAAGAAGAACATTATACAGTATTTCCAACATACAGATGCAACAGAAAAATAATCAATAGCCTAGACGATAGCAATACGTTGCAAAATAATTAGGAAATTATGAAATACAAAATATTATTTTTGTTTTCAAAATATTTCATGGTCATTACTGTAGGCATCAGATCATTATTACATGGCATTCTAAAACCTGATAAATAAAACAAGCAATCTATCCTGCCTCTCCTCTATCTCAGGAAAACTGTAAGGGAAAGTTCTTGAACAACACAGTTAATAAAGGAATGACAGAAGATGAAAATCACCATTTTAGGCCGGGCGCGGTGGCTCAAGCCTGTAATCCCAGCACTTTGGGAGGCTGAGGCGGGAGGATCACGAGGTCGAGGGATCGAGACCATCCTGGTCAACATGGTGAAACCCCGTCTCTACTAAAAATACAAAAAATTAGCTGGGCATGGTGGAGTGTGCCTGTAATCCCAGCTACTCAGGAGGCTGAGGCAGGAGAATTGCCTGAACCCAGGAGATGGAGGTTGCGGTGAGCCGAGATCGCGCCATTGCCTGGGTAACAAGAGCGAAACTCAGTCTCAAAAAAAAAAAAAAAAAATCACCATTTTGAAATAATTAAATTAATAATCGTTCTAATCAACCATCATCAAGGGATGCTAAAAATCATCACATTAGGCCACACTAGGTGGCTCATGCCTGTAATCCCAGCACTTTGGGAGGTCGAGGTGGCCAGATCACCTAAGGTCAGGAGTTTGAGACCAGCCTGGCCAACATGGTAAAATGTTGGCCTCTACAAAAAATACAAAAAAATTAGCCAGGCATGGTGGTGGGCACCTGTAATCTCAGCTACTTGGCAGGCTTAGGCAGGAGAATCACTTGAACCCAGGAGGCGGAGGCTGCAGTGAGCCGAGATCACATCACTGCACTCCAGCCTGGGCAACAGAGTGACAGACCCCATCTCCAAAAAAAAGGAAAAAGGAAATCATCATGTTAAATAAAGGCTGAGAAGACACTTAATATTATCTTGATTAATTTTAGCTCACTGGAAATAAGAAACCCAGACATGATGTGCCTCCTGGTATGAGACAAAAAATATGAGAACAAAGCACTGGTATTCTTGAATAAGATAGGAACTTGAATATATTTACAAAATTGTTATTTATCAGTTCACAAAAAATATCCGAATTAAGGAAGAAGTTAAAGATAATGACATTTATCAGCAAAATGTCATTATGTCAGATTATTTGATTTTAATATTGAGAAGAAAATGGCAATGAAACAAGATTGGATACGTGGCTGAATAAATTGTACAAGGGGTTCATTAAACTATTCTAATTATGTGTATATTTCAAAATTTCCATTAAAAAAGAAAAAGCATGATACTTACCAATAAGATCACTTCGATCTAACAACAATTCTAGATCTTTATCACTAATGACCTTTTCTCTTGATCCTTTTATTTCCCTATAGAAAACAAAACATTCAAGTCCATGTGAATCATTCAAAGCTACAAATTAAATCTTTCTAAAATTAAAAACTTACCTTTCATAATCTCTAGATTTCAATAATTCCATTAATTCCTTAGGATCTAGGAAATTCTTAGACAGATTTAATCCAGATTGACCGCCTTTGAAATGATCTAAAAAAAAAATGAGAAATTAAAAACATTAAAATTCCTTTTAAAACTATGATACAACATACTACAAAGCAATCACAATGGCTTGCATTAAGAAGAATGGAAAAAAAACAAGTGCTGATAAGGAATAAAAGCAACTGAAACTCTCAGACTTTGCTGGGAGAAGTGGAAAATACTATGTCCACTTTGGAAAAGGTTAGTAGTTTCCAGTAATTAAACAGGCACCCTCCCAAAGGCGACCAAGGACAAAAAAATGCATTATGTCTACAGTCTTGTACAGGGACAGCTTATTCATAATAATCAGAATCTGGAAATAATTTAAATGCAGACCGACAGGAGAATGGAAAAACAAACTATTCACCAATTAAAAAAAAAATTCTACAAGAAACAACACAGATAACTGAAAAAAATAAATTCAACGAAGTACCTAACAAGGAAAAAACTCATCAATTTGACAAAAATCAGAATACTGGATGCTTTCTAGTGATGGTTAACAGGAGCACAGGAATAACTGGAAAGGGTGAAAAAAGAAAATTTCTTGGATGATGAAAATGCTACCTTGAACTGGATGACAGTTACCTGAGTATATACACCTGGTCAAAATTCATTAAACTGTACATTTAAGATCTGTGCATTTAACTATATGTATATAATACCTCAACTAAAAAATGTCAACATTTCAAAAAATGCCTTCAAAATTTTCTACTAAATTAATCTACCAAAAAACTAAAAATAGGGCTGAGCACAGTGGTTCACACCTATAATCTCAACATTTAGAGAGGCTGAGGCAGGAAGATCGCTTGACTCCAGGTATTCAAAAGCAACCTGGGTAAAACAGTGAAATAATCTCTTAAAAAAAAATTATGCTTTTTCCCCCTCTAATTCCAATTATAATTTAAATGTTTCGTCAAGTCAAATTAATTTTGTCTAAACCTTAATCCACTCTTCCCTGAAAACCCAGAAAAAGCATTTGCAAGTGGAAAATGAGCATAAAATAAATTGTTAGTTACTTCCACATTATTTTTCACATTAATATTATCATGTTTTATTTCTCTAGGCTTTATGATTTACATAAATGATTTTCAATTTTTCTTCATGTAGCTATCAAGCCATTCACTCAAGCAAAATTTTATGTTGAATGGATAGAAGTAGAACTTCTCTAAGGAATCTCAGGGAACAAAACATAAAACCTCACCCCACCTCCTCAGAATGTTTTCTAGATTAAAAAGCATTATTGAGATCAATCTGGGTATAAGGAAAAGAAAAAGGGGGAAAAAAGTGTCCCAAACTATGAAAAAGGCATTCTGCAGTGAAATAGTCTATAAAATACTGGATTCAATAAATAAATTGATTTTAATGGCACTACTTAAATACACTATTAATATTTTAATATTATATTTAATATATGGAACTTGCAAAATATTTATCTTAAACCTTTTGGCAGACCAATGTCTTATCAGGAACAGGTAATTATCCTTGACCCCTTTTCTCTGCCCATCTGCGCTTCATCTACATACACAGTAACATTCTTTCTTTTATGTCTATGGTGACTAGGTTAGGTTATTAGAAGTTCCAAATTCTCCACTGCTTATTTAAATCCTGTCATATCAGATTGTAACATTTTATAAAGAAAATAAAAACAAATTTAAAAAATCCACAACACACAATGCACAATTTAAACAATAAAGTACTATATAAGTGTTATTTACTTTTATGGATGATCAACTTTTCCAGTTTCCTTTTAGCAGCTGCTCTTTCCACAATTTTCTGATCAATAGTATTTGCTGTAACAAGGCGATAAACAACAACTGGCTTTGTCTGACCAATTCTATGACATCTATCCTGGGCCTGGAGATCCGACTGGGGGTTC